TGAGTTCTAGCCCGCCCTGGTCAACAGAGCTAGTTCCAGAGCAGAGAAACCATGTCTCGAAAAACAAACAAACAAACAAACAAACAAACAAAAAGAATGAATATAATAACAAGGAGCAGATAGAAAGCAATACATTGATGGGGGGGATGTCCTCTGTATATATATTTCTCTTATTGACTGATGAACAAAACGTTGTTTGGCCAATAGAGGCAGGAAGATAGGTGGGGCTAGGAGAAGAGGAGAAATCTGGGAAAGTTAGGCGGGGGAGATGGGAAGGAAACACCATGTATTGGAGGAAGGAGGAACAGGCTGGACCCTTCTTTGCTAAGATAAGACTACATGGAAATACTTAGATTAATAGAAATAAGTTACTAATTAAGAAAGAGCTAGCTAATAAGAAGCCCTAGATATCAGCTAACAGTTTTATAATTAATATAAGTCTCTATGTGTTTATTTGGGGCTGAAGGGCAGCAGGACCTGGCAGGACAACAAAACTACAGCAACAAAACAACATCCAGCAGAAATTGGCTGGGGAAGCCCCATTAAGGCTGCCAGCTAGAGTTCCTAACTGAGAGGCAAAGTGTCCCCTCAGGAAATGCTTCTACGGAAAAGAATAAATAGTAGCAGAAAGGTAACATCATCAAATTGGATTTTTAATTTATTAATTTTTATTTTATATGCATTGGTGCTTTGCCATGGTTGTCAGGTCCTCTGGAACTGGAATTACAGACAGTTGTGAGCTGCCATGTGGGTGCGGGGAATTGAACCTAGGTCCTCTGCAAGAGCAGTCAGTGCTCTTAACCACTGAGCCATCCCATCAAACTGGATTTTGAAAACCATCTGGCAGAAACCAACTGTATAAGCCAAAGCAGTCAGATGATCCTCCAGTTTCCTAGTCCCACTGTAGGCATTTTAATATGATGGGATAAACAATAGTAACCTTTATTAGAAAAGGTTTCCCTTAGAGCTGTTTTCAAAGACACTGTGTTTTTACTCTTGGGTTATTTGGCTTTTTTTGTTTTTCTTCTCTTGCCATTACAGAGGTGTGAGTGTGTGCTGGGATGGTAGCTCATCCACAGACAAAGGGGCCTTGGAAGATACTATGAGAAAAATATGCTTGCATCTTAAATGGGAAATGGTGATGCAACCCCATTTCTAGAGCCAGCTTCTCAGTGATTCCAAACGGCACACAACAGTTTACCAATTTTATAGACAGTATAGTTATGCAACAAATATATTTTACATTATTCAAATCTGTAAAAGAGGAGATCTGAAGGTGGAGAAAAAAATATCCAAAGAATGGAATATTACTATTTAGAGGGAAGAATGTATCGAAACAAGAAGCATGATAATGTTAGAGGTTAAACAAAAACAGTAACTCTGTGACTACCATGTTTCTTGAAGGAGACAAGGAAGGACCCGGACAGTAGTGTTATGAAAGCCACAGTCAGAGCTTGGGACTTCACCTGAATACAATAGAAATTGTTGGCTGCTTGCTCACATGGTTGCCAAGCATTACAATCCTGGCTACTGCTTTGTCAGTGAAGGGAAGGCAGAGTCCTTTGGGAAGCAGGTAAGCAATATTACAGTTTTCTAGGTGCCATCTGCTCTATTTCAGGATGGTGACAGTGGGAAAGAACATATTTAACAGGAATCGCTCAACTGGACTGGTTTGCAGTAAGTTAGGAAAGTGGCTAAGTTGACCTACCCAACTGAGAGGGTGGTGAAATGGGAACATTAGAGAGGCATGTTTCACGGTACGAAAAGAGACTGCTTTTTGTTTATACAGTTGGAAGAATCTATGAGGAAGTAAGCTTGTGCAGTAATGGACTGTCATTGAAATAACTCTAATCTTTCTGGTGAGTATAAAGCAGTCCACCTTTGAAAGATGTTTTGGTCTAAATAACTGAGTTCCCACTCAGCAGTAACGGTCTACCATGAGAGAGTACCATTTTTTGCCAGAAATGAGTCTCCCAAACAGCTTAAGGATAAAATAACCCCCCCCCCCCGGAATTTGCCTGGAATTTGAATTCCTCAGAATCATCCACACTGAGTTAATAATTAGAAGTTCCTCATACTGCTTGTTTGTTTCACCTGTGTACAGGATTCCAGGTGCACAAAATCCTCCCAACAGAATTATCCAACTTGGTGTCAAAGAAAGGTCTACCTATTCTAGCAACCCAAGGGCAAGTCTCTGCTAGCTCAGGAAGAAAAGAGGTGGGAGGCTGAAGAAGCCACAGAAACTGATCCTGCCCAGAGCCAGAATACTGAAGAGGGTTCCAGCAACAGTCCATCTTCTTTGCATTTTTTCTTACACCCTCCCCAAGCATCTAGAACTCTCTGCCTTCAAGAGATCAACAGTTATTTGTTGCTTCCTAAACTCTTCAGACACAGGGGTAAATGGGAGAGGAGGGTGATAAACACCTAAACTCTTCAGACACAGGGGTAAATGGGAGAGGAGGAGGATAAACACCTAAACTCTTCAGACACAGGGGTAAATGGGAGAGGAGGAGGATAAACACCTAAACTCTTCAGACACAGGGGTAAATGGGAGAGGAGGAGGATAAACACCTAAACTCTTCAGACACAGGGGTAAATGGGAGAGGAGGAGGATAAACACCTAAACTCTTCAGACACAGGGGTAAATGGGAGAGGAGGAGGATAAACACCTAAACTCTTCAGACACAGGGGTAAATGGGAGAGGAGGAGGATAAACACCTAAACTCTTCAGACACAGGGGTAAATGGGAGAGGAGGAGGATAAACACCTAAACTCTTCAGACACAGGGGTAAATGGGAGAGGAGGAGGATAAACACCTAAACTCTTCAGACACAGGGGTAAATGGGAGAGGAGGAGGATAAACACCTAAACTCTTCAGACACAGGGGTAAATGGGAGAGGAGGAGGATAAACACCTAAACTCTTCAGACACAGGGGTAAATGGGAGAGGAGGAGGATAAACACCTAAACTCTTCAGACACAGGGGTAAATGGGAGAGGAGGAGGATAAACACCTAAACTCTTCAGACACAGGGGTAAATGGGAGAGGAGGGTGATAAACACCTAAACTCTTCAGACACAGGGGTAAATGGGAGAGGAGGGTGATAAACACCTAAACTCTTCAGACACAGGGGTAAATGGGAGAGGAGGAGGATAAACACCTAAACTCTTCAGACACAGGGATAAATGGGAGAGGAGGAGGATAAACACCTAAACTCTTCAGACACAGGGGTAAATGGGAGAGGAGGATGATAAACACCTAAACTCTTCAGACACAGGGGTAAATGGGAGAGGAGGAGGATAAACACTTTTAGAGGCAAAATGAGAAATAGACAAAGCTTAAGAGAGAGAAGGAAATGAGATAAGAAAATGAAAGCGCTCTCTCTCTCTCTCTCTCTCTCTCTCTCTCTCTCTGTGTGTGTGTGTGTGTGTGTGTGTGTGTTTTCTGTCTGTCCTGTGAATATTAGCTGCCATCTTAGTCCCTTGAGTCACAATTAGAAAAGTCCAACTGAATGCTCCTTTATTGACTATCTATTAATTATCCTAAGACTTTATTTGTCTACTTTATTCCCACTAGATTCTCCACCAGTTGTTTCCATGGCATATGTTTTCAGCACATACTCTACCAAGAACCCTAAGCTCAGGCACCTCCCTAGATAGTAAGATTCTTCAATTCTCAGTGCAAAGACAGGTCCAATTTATTTAAAAACATGGTAAAGTAAAATACCTTCTATATACTTGAAAATTTGTTTGGAAATTGTGAAGGGCTGCATAGACTTTGGTTCTGTTGCTTTTATTTTGAAGGTAGATTTCATTGGTTAGGGTGCTCTGGGGCTTGGTGGTTTGCTTTCTTGGGGGGGGGGGGGGGGGTGGATTAAAGTCAGAAGAGGCCAAGTGTCTGTCTATTGCACCCGGGAGATCAACCTACCTTGCACAAAGGAGTCTTTCGGTTTAAACGCTGGGTGTGTGGGTACATAGTATGCATATGCAAATGTACAGCGCCCGAGGTGCAGAGCCTTGACTGACATCCTGCCCTCCTCCTCGCTTCCAAGGCACAATGACGCCTGCCTCCGGGGGGTACTCCCGGGGTACCCCCAACCCACCCCCGCTAAATCATCAAGTCTGGTTCTCTGAGGTCTGAGGAAGTCACAATTTAGGGCTTTGAGGGTTTTAATACCCTAAATGCTGACTTTGCAGGCCATCAAAACTTGAAAGCCCTACAGACAGTGTCAGTCAAGTGACCCGCACATATTCCCTGCCCCAAGGGCAAAGAAGAGTCGGTGTACTGTTGGGAATAGTTCACAGTCGCTTTAGCTTGTAGAAGCCACTTTGTTGGGGAAACGAGAGACATGGGAGCCGATTTGTTTGTAGTCATCCCAGGGCTACACTTTCTGCCATGGTAATCAGAAAAATGCTAGGGCAACCTCAGAGCACTGCGAGGATGCCAGACACGCCAAGATGCTCTGTGGTACGGCTCGCAAGGGATCCCTGTCCATGGGGAGAATGCCGGGGAGCTCGTCAGGTTCTCAGCGGCCCTCGAGGACATGCACTGATAGGCCTCAGTTTCCACGTGCGAAAAACGGCCACATCACCCAAATTCCTTCCCCGACAGAGAAGGGCTGGAGTGCTTTGCAGCTACAGAGAAACCTTTCGAAAAATAAATAAAAAAAGAAAAAGAAAACAGTTTCTTTAGCCTTTTATAAAGCGCCGAGGAAAACCAAACCGTTCTGACGTTTCCCTCGGTGTAGGCTCAGACCACGGCTACAGGGCAAACCGGACAGGCCTTGTGGCGCTTCTGTGGAAACATGCAGACAAGAGGACAGACCGGGTCAAGGCCCGCGGTACTTTCTGTGTCTGGCTGGCTCGACAGGCTAAGGACAGCTCGCTCTGCGCTTGCGCAGTCTCCTTCAGTCCGGCCCCGCCCCTCCTCCTCCCCAGCCCGGCCGTCCGCGCAGAGCATTGTGGGACACAAACAAAGTGCCCCCCCAAACAGGCTGGAGTGAGACGAGCGGCTACGGCCCGCACGCGCGCTGCGGCGGCGGCTTCCCTCCCAGCCTCCCCTCCCCTCCCCTCAGTCCCTTTCCCCTTCCCCACCCCGCCCCGCCGGCCGGGCCAGCGCTCGCGGTCGCCCGCCCTCGGCAACCGCCCCCAACGGCCGCCCGCGCGCAGCGGGCTTGGGCCCCTCGCTCCTCCTCTCGGGCCCGCGGGCGCCGGGCGCTCCCCTCGCGCCTCGCACTCTCACACCTCGCGGGCACGCGGGCGAGCGGCGCCGCCATGCGCGCCCACTTCCAGGCTGCACACTGGCCTAGGCGCGGCGGCCCGAGATAGGGTCTCCTGAGCCTCCCGGGGGAGGAGAGGAGCCAGCCGCGCGCTCCGCCCCCTCCCCCCCGGGTTGCCGGCGCCGCCGCCGCCACCACCGCCACCGCCACCGCCGCCACCGCCGCTGCCACCTCGCTGCCGCCGCCTCAGTCTGGCGGGGAGGAGGAGGAGGAGAAGGAGGAGTAACAGGCCTCCGGACCCCCGCACCGCCGGCCGCAGGTAACGGAGGGAAGGGCCAGCAAGGGGACAGGGGGAGGCGGCGGCGGGCCAGCCCGGGAACCGACACCACGCGTCGCCCACCTGGACACGGCGAGGGGGGGGGAGAGGAAGGAAACGTGATTTGTCACTCTTGATTCGTGCGGGGAAACACCCCACAAGGTCCCCCTCATTGGTATTTGATCCGGGAAAGGGGGAGCGGCTGGCCTCGCTCCCTGGGGACCTGAAGTAGTCACCCGGATCCTCCAGGGGAGCCGATTTTGCAAGGCAATCCGCCCAGCACCAAATGCAATGCTGGTGAGGTGTGTTTGTACCCGCTCGCTCACCTGGTCTACCCGTGAGCCCGAGACCTGTTTGTTCCCTCCTCTCCTCCGCTGCCTCCACCCCCCTCACCCCCCCATTAGAACGGCACTTTTAAAAGAAAAGAGGAAGAGTATGCAAACACACCTCCCCCCACCCCCACACACACCTACCTGAGGATATCTCTGTATCTGGTCGTGTTGCTGTCGGCCTACCAAAAAGGAAGGAGTTACCTGCAAGTGAAATGACAACTTAAGTTATAACTGATTAAAGGAAATGGTACCTGTTTGAATTTTGTTTTTTGTGAACCTTAACCAGAATCTATTGTAAACTGCGTTGTTCGTGTACTTTCTAGTAACTTACAGAATTTAAGACTGAAACCTATTTGTTAGCTATATAAGCAGCATACTAATCTGTTGAGTGTGTTTATCGGAAAAATTCTTCCGCTTATTAGAATTTTATGCGGAGATAAGTTAATACCAAAAGCAGGCTACAATATAATAGCAGAAGCTGGGTAAAAAAAAAATCGATATTTACTTTTGCTTTCTTGGTAATTTTTGGTTTAAAAAATACTATAGATCTTGATTTTCCCCCTCCCATTCACTCTGATATCCAGTTGATTTATAATATTCACCTGTGTCTTTTGTAGTTTTCCACGTGGAATGTAAAAATTAGTGTTAGTACTTTGTATATCTATTTAATTACAAAAACCAGATTTACTTTGTGCAACAGTGTTTTGCTTTTTATTTATGTGTCTTAGTCTCAGAACACATAATGATGTAGATAACAATTTTATAGAAGAGACAGAAACTTAGTAACATTAACTGTAACTCGTTCTAGGTTATGCAAGTAGTGTTGACAGTTGAACCCAGGTGTCTTTCTGCTGTACTTCTCATGAGTGATATAATTTCTTTTATGGCTTCAAACTTTTCAGTTTCACAGAGGTTGTCTGAAAAATAGAGTGACCATATTAGTACCGATTCCATGATGGCCGGCTTTTCCTATACTTGCCTGTTTTGTGGTTGCTGTTGTTGAGACAGTGTGCCTCCTCCTCCTAAGTGCTAGAATTAGATTTCTTCACCACCATGTTTGATTCTGGAATATTTCCTAAAAATACCAAGTCAGTAACAGTGTCCATCAACATTTCCTCAGTTGCCCCAAAGTAGTTCCACAGGCTGTGATCAATCAAGATTCATGAATTGCATTTGGTGATTACGTTTATTTAGTCATGCCTTTTGTTGGAAAGGATAGTACCCAGACTATCGTATTTTCTTTTCTTCTTCCTTCTGTTTTTGTTTTTGGGTTTTTTTGGAGGGGGGGGGACACTTAACTGACCAAACCAGTTGCTTGTAGAACATTTGAGCCGTTTTAGCCTTGACCTTGTACTCCCCGCGTCATTTCATTTACTACTCTTTCTTTTTAAGTGAGAGTTTGGTTCCAGACCTGTCCAGCTGCTGGTCGATGATTGCATAAGGCCAATGATATCTATGAATACAGCTCAACACCAGGTTGTAAACTGAAAATATTAGGTTTTCGTGTGTGTAACCTGATTGATTGTGTAATAGTGTCAAAAGATTGGACATCCTTGGAACAAAGATTTAATTTGCTTAAAGTGAAACCTTATTTGGCAAGAATACTTAAATAAGTGATGCCCCAGACTTCGAATCGGAACACCACACAGTTGATGTTAAGTTTAAGTGGTGACTGCAAGGTCTTTTGTGAAGGTGTGGTTTAACAGTTTGATTATATGTGACCTTAAGGTAACTCTTTGACAGGAAGCAAAAGCAAAAAACTTGTTTCTGATAAATTTTCCTCAGTGAGTTTTAGCTCTTAATCAGTTATTTTATTGACTCTCTTGAAAAGTTGAGATTTTATTAGGTATGAACTAAATTTCTTCCTAAAAATGCAGATTAAGTGCTTAATTTTTATCACCTTAATTATGGATTTTGTTGTTGTTGTTGTTTTTTTTTTTTTTTTTTTTTTTTACGAGACAGGGTTTCTCTGTATTGTTTTGGAGGCTTATCAGTCCAGCCCGGCCTCGAACTCACAGAGATCCGCCTGCCTCTGCCTCCCGAGTGCTGGGATTAAAGGCGTGCGCCACCACCGCCCAGCAATTATGGATTTTTTAAATGAGTAAATTGATTTGTTTTTCATTTTAGGGGGCTGTGGCCATTACAGACTTAAGATTTGAGCGGATAATACTACCAAGGAGTTTATTCGTTTTATAACCAATTAGGATCCTTTTTGAGGGCCACACTGTCACCAGTTTGGACATAGGAACTCTTTCAAACTGGCTACAGTGTCTTTTGACACTTAGACTCACCTCTACTCTGGAGCACTTTCTGATACAAGGTACCCAGCCACATGGAAAGGGCTGTTTATCCTAGGAGTCTTGGTCATTTCGATGAGAAATGGTATATATAAAAAGATCTGAAAGTTTGGCATAACCATTGCTACCAGAGTATTACTGTTTCTAGACTTGTTTCAAAGGACAGAACTAAGAATTTATTTACTTAGACAGGGTCTCCCTATAAAGCCCTGGCTGCTCTGGAACTCAAAAGAGATCCTTCTCAGCCCCTCAGGTGCTGGGATTAAAGGTATGAGCCGCACACCCAGCAGAATTTTTTAAAAAAAGATTTAAACATTTTTATGTGTATCAGTGTTTTCCCTGCATCTGTCTGTTTGTACCTGTTGCCCTCAGAGGCTGGAAGAGGGTGTTGGAGATCCTGGAGTTAGAGTTACAGTTGGTTGTGAGCTGAAATATAGATACAGGGAACCGAACCTGGGTCCTCTGCATGCTAAGCCATCTCTAGCCCCAGGATTTCAATTTTGAATGTATAAAATATATACATAGTTCAGCATAATGTTGCAAAAACTGTGCCTTTAAAAACTTCACTTAAGAAAACTTCATTCAAGGGCCTAGGTTGAAGCACGAGTACTATCAGAAATCAAAACCAAAACCTTGGCTCAAGTGCCAGAGGGTTAGCAGTACGGTAGGCTGAAGCCACATAGTACTGCTTTTTTTAATTTGTTCAAAATTTTTTGCCTTTAAAAAATTAGACTATACATTTTATAGTACTACTTTTGTTTTATAATTACATTCAGATACCTTTGGCTAACCTTTAGAAATTTGTAGAGACATAGATTTGAAGTTTGCTTTTGCAGGTGTTGTATTTTTAAGTAATTCATGAAAGAAAAACTGCAACTTTTACTTGAAAAATCTTGATCTAGGGGATGGGGAATAGCTCCATGGGTAAAGTACCTGCCATAGCAAGCATGAAGACCTGGGTTCAGATCTCTAGCATCAGTATCTGGGGGTGGGAGCCCGGGATTTGGGGCATGGGTAGAGACTTAGCAAGATCCTGAGACTTGCTAGACAGCTAGTCTCGCCAATAGATGATCTTCAGGAAAGTGGTAGAGGAAGACTGACTTTCCTTACTCCCCACCCAAATCATCTTTAAAGCTAAATGTAATTGATAGAGGTTTTATTTACTTAATTTTGGAGACAGGGTTTCTCTGTGTAGCCCTGTCTGGCTATCCTGGACCCCAGCTCTGTAAACCAGGTTGGCCTTAAACTCACAGAGATCCACCTACCTCTGCCTCCTGAGTGCTGGGATTAAAGGTGTGTGCCACCACCACTTGGCAAATGCTTGCTTTTATACTGCACAACAAAACTGGCATTCATAACGTCTGCAAATATAAAGGCCATTTGGACACATGAAGATAACACATTTAATTTAGATTAGATAAATTTGATATAAATGCATAATTATGTGGTCTGAAATACTATGTTCACATAGTTTTCAGAGGGAGCAATGGTTGTTTAAAGTAGGTATGTATAGCCATGCAAACAGCTATTGTGATAACTATGGGGCTAATCTGATTGTAATTACTAGCATTACTAAATATTTTGTGAATTATCTTAATTAAGGCTCATTTTAACATTTAGATATTGCTACTAGTATTTTATTTTGCAAGTAAAGAAACTGATAGCTAGAAGAATTAAATCACATGTCTAGGATGCCATAGCTATTGAGTGACAGACCCAGGTTTCAAATTCAAGTGTATTTTCAGAGTTAGCACTCACCTACTTGTTGCACCTCACAACTGAGTGTAACAAGCCAAGACAATGAACTTATTTCCAGTGCTATACGTAAGGAACTACATGACTCACATACTATAGGAACACTGAAATTGTAGTCCAGAACTTACAAGTATTTGTCCTATCTATTATAAATCCTTAGATTTCCCCTTCTAAGAAATTTGGGGGTCATGACCCTGTGTGAAGAAGATTTTATTAAAGGTATCAGAACTCAAGATGGATTGATAAGTGGATATATTTGTTAAAAAAAATAAAAGAATATTACAGAGTGTTGATAGGCATGGCTATTTATTCAGCTATAAGTTTGTTTTTGTCTTTTTACATTTTTCTATGCCTGAAAATTTCACAGTTGGGAGTGATTGAACATCAATTCTTATTAAAAACCAGTATTACTGGGACTGTAGCTCAGGGTAGAAGGGTGCTGGCCTAGCAGGTACTGTATCTGCATTGTGTAAATTGAGGTAGTGACAGGCTTGAGCTTCTAATGCCATCACTCCAGTGGTGGAAGCAAGAGGATTAAGATCATCCTAGACCTAAGCCAGTTTTGTTCACTCTGGGTTTTTGTATGAGTTCTTCGAAATAAAAATCAACAACTACCCCA